CCAGGTTCGATTCTGGTCAAGGGCATGTACCTTGGTTGCGGGCACATCCCCAGTAGGGAGTGTGCAGGAGGCAGCTGATTGATGTTTCTCTCTCATCGATGTTTCTAACTCTCTACCCCTCTCCCTTCCTCTCTGTAAAAAAAAAAAAAAAGAAAAGAAAAGAAAGAATTGTAAAAAAAAAAAATCAGACATTTAATGGTGACAAATAAAAAATCCTATTTGCGATAAAACCCCCAGCTATTTAAGATAAAGTTTGCTTACCAAAAATTCACCCAATTTAAGTGTGAAATTCAACGATGTTCAGTAAATGGGCAGTTGTGTAAGCATCACCACAGTCCAGCTTGAGAACCCCAAAATGATGCTTCATGCCCATTTGCAGTAACCTCACCCCACCCCCTGGCAACCACCAATCTGTTGTCTCGATGGATTTGCCTATTCTGGACATTTCATGTAAATGGAATCATACAATGTGTGGCCTTTCGTGTCTTAACTGCTTCTACTTAGCAGATACCGTTTTTGAGGGTCGTCCAGGTTGTAACATGAGTCAGTACCTCATTGTTTTTATGGCCGAATAATATTCCGTTGCATGGCTATACCACATTTTGTTTATCCGGTCATCAGTTGATGGACATTTGGGCTGTTTCCCCTTTTAGCCTTTATGATAATGCTGCTGTGAACATTTGTGTGGAAGTCTTGTAAGGACATATATTTGCAGGGCTCTAGGGTAGATTCCTAGGAGTGGAATTCCTGAGTCATACGGTAAATTTATGTTCACATTTTCAAGAAACATCCAAAGTGGAAGAGGTTTGGAGGAGGATATCCCTAGATGGAGGGAGATGTTTGATCATGAGGGGCTGATCATGACAGTGGGCCTGGAGCTGGGGAATGGACTGGAGAAATGCTTGCTGCTGTGGCGTTGCCCATCAGTGGATATGACGCCCTGATTTCTCAGTTATGGCTAACTGGTTGGTGATTAAAGGTGTTGGTAACCCTCCCCGTGCCCATAGGGGAGGAAATGGGCTCCAGAACCTGACTCCATCCCCTACGGCCACGTTAAGAGGTGATTAGCAATGCCTGCTTAATCACAACAAATCTCATGATGCCCACTATACCTTCCAGAATTCTCTGGTGGTGAGCAACAGGGACCGACTTGGCATCTTATCTAGGGAAGGGGTTTATGGGGAAGTGTCGGGGAGCTCACAGGTGAGATGGGGAGACTGGGGAGCCAGCCTCAGGAGATGACAGAAGCTGCTCAGGCCCTGGGGGCAGGAGGTGAGGCCCCCTCAGGGCTCTGTCTACCCACTTTGATCCCCTGTCCTAGATCCAGCTCGGAGAACCTGATTGGCATAGCCTGGGACCCGTTCTCACTTCTTGGCTGTGGGAGCTGGTGGGGCAGCCCCACCAGGACTGTACATGATGGCAGAGGCAGGGCAGGGGACATGTCCCCTAAAGGAACACAGGATGGTCTTCCTGGAAGAAGAGGGAGTAGATGTTGGATTTCAAATCAAAAGGTGTCTGCTACCCCACATTCCAGATGAAGGAACTGAGGCATGGAGAGGTTACAAACATTTGCCCAGGGCCACAGAGCTGAAAAGTGGCCAAATGGACCCCAGTCTGTCTAAATTCAAAGTCTGTGTTCCGCCTGTGACCCAATCTGGACAACGTGGGTCTCCCAGGACCCGCTCCCCCCTCCCCAAAGCTGGTGGGGCTGGGAAGATCACTGTCTCTTGAACAAGCCAGACTCCAGCATCTTTCTGGGGCTGCATCCAGCATCTTTCTGGGACTTTGAGGTCTGGAGGAGAATCTAAAAGAGCCCTGCTGGCCTCTTGGCTTTGGTCTTGTCCCCCATCCCCTGGGCAATGAGCCCAGCTGGCCCCCTTGTCACCCCTAGAGGGGGCCAGTGTGCAAGAGCTTGTACTGGGAGTCCCAGGAGGCCCCATATCCAGACCCTCAGTTCAGAGCTACATCTAACTCATGGCTGTCTTTTCTTTCTGTTCTCAGATCGAGAGGACCAGTCCATCCTATGCACGTAAGTGGAGCTGCGTTTTCTTCTGTTTTTCTGGAGTCGAGATTCAGCCTATTAAAGAAGAAGGCCCCTGAGGGCAAGGCTCTTTGATTTGTTCACCATTCCAAGCGCCTCACCTCAGATCTCATTGGGGAGTTGACGCTCACTAAACGTTTGTTGAACAAGGGTTCTCGTTCTCAGTTAGGCTCACCTACCTTGTCAATGACACCTGGTGTCCTCTTATTTTACACGGCCTCCCCTTCTTAAACTAGCATTTATTGAGCACTTACTGTGTGCCAGGCCTTGAACGAAACATCTTACCTGCAGAATTGCCTCTAACTGCATGCCATCTCTGTTGGTGAGGAAGTCTTGGCTTATATGAAAGTATCGCTTTGCAGTTTCACAATTAGCAACCATATCTGTGCCGCCATATTTGGTGTTTCATGTCATTGTTTCTTTGAGGACTTGGGAGCAAGGTCAGAAGATATTAACTAAACTTAGAATCATTCAGAGAATCTTCACCATTCAGGAAAGCGCCTCCTGTGGGGGGCAGGGTAATGGCCCCCAAAGATCTCCCCATCCTGATCCCTGGAACCTGAGATGATGTCAGGTCACATGGGGTGGGGGGATGAAGGCTGCAGCTACCCTGTCACTCTCCCCAAGGGCCAGCATTGTAGACTACAATTGGAGGAAATATAAAATAGATCTTATTTTACTGTAGCCTTCTGAAAAAAATTTAAATATATTTTTTATTAATTTTAGAGAGGTCAGGAGAAGGAGAAAGAGATAGAAACATCAATGATGAGAGAGAATCATGATTGGCTGCCTCCTGCACACCCCCTACTGGGGATTGAGCCTGAAACCCGGGCATGTGCCCTTGACTAGAATCAAACCTGGGACCCTTCAGTCCACAGGCCGACGCTCTATCCACTGAACCAAACTAGCTAGGGCAATCCATACGATATTGATGTGAACTACCATTAGCATGTTAACCTTCATTACCTGGTTACAGTTGTGTCCACCAGCATTTTAACTTCATTTTCCTTCTGTGGTGTTATCCAAGGTAGCGATATCTGTGAAAATTGTCATTTTACTGTTCAGCTATACAGGCTGGGGCAAAAATAGGCTTACAGTTGTTCATATGGAAAACAATATAAGCATTAATAAATAACAATAATACAAGAATGAGCTGTGACCCTCCTTTTACCCCATCCTGTGCATTTTCTGACCAGGTGCTGCCTAAAACCATCTCAGGTACCGTGGGGTGGGTCCTGCTAGACCTCTGTCCCCAAATGTGGCTGCACGTCAGTTCCTGGGCAACCGGCTCAGGAGGCGAACGGCCCAGATAAGGCCCAGGGACTCCTGACGCAGCGGTTTGGGTTGGAGCTGGGAAGCCTGTGTTTTGATCTAGTGTCTTGGGCATTAGTGCAGCCGCTCGGCCAGCAGCTGAGCCGACAGGGATGGAAACACTTGTCGTGGGTCATCTGCACAGAGCACGCTGAAGGGACGGCCCCATCGGAGCTGTGCACACCCCTCTGCTTTGGAGTGGAGAAGGGCTCAGCTGGTGGGGCTCCGGAGGGGGTGTCAGGGAGTACTCTCCTCCAGCAGAGGAGGGGGCTGAAGCCCAGCCCCTCTGGGCCCGTTTGGGAGCTCAGAAAGGATGAGGAACAGGAGCTGGGGAGGACTGGAGGGCCCTGGAGATTCTGATGCATATTTTGCAATGAGAGTGTCTGACCCATCAGTGCAGACGTGTGGCAGAAAGATGCCTGTGGTCACCTGGTGCCTGCAGGTTTCCTGGTCTTGGCTTTTGGGGAGCCTGGGCTGGAGTGAGCCCCCCCTGGGCCAGGTTCTCGGCACATTAGCTGACTCTTTTGACTGAGGAAGTAAAGTGAGGGGGGCATTTGGGTCCCTCTCATTCCTAAGTGATGCTGTAACAATACTTGGAGGCCCTGAGCAAGGCAGTGTGGGACCATTCCAGCTCCAGATTTTCATTCAGGAGGCAGCCAGGATGCTGGACAGGAAAACACGGAGTCCTGGACTGTGCTCTGCCGTATTTGCATGCTGTGGCCTGCAGGGAGGACTTAGCACAGCAACCTGATAACACTCAGACATGCACACGCACGCACGCGCACGCACGCACGCACACACACATACACACACTCGCACACACATGCGCACACACAGACACACGCACACGCACACACTCACACACATTCACACACACAAGTTCTTCTAACTGCTAACTGCTAGTTAGCATTTCACAAAAAGGCAACAAATCATGTTATAAACAGAATTATTAACAGTATTAACAGATGTTAACAGTAACTGGCTTTATTTCTAGACTTTTGCTGCTACAGGTTTCGCTGTGTGCTTAGAGTTGTGAGTGACAAGTGCTGATCAAGGTGCTAAGGCATTCTTTCTCATTGCGGTACGTGAAGTTGGAGCCTGCTGCTATCTGCTTTTCAAAAGTGCTTTTCTAGCTTTCTTCCTCAGATGTTCTTTATAGCCAGTTCCCCGGGTCAAAAGGACAGACTGAGGCGATACAAATTCATTTTGTACCAATCGGTACATAAATCAGAATGTCAGATGGGGATGGTTGCTATAAAGACAGTGAACTGCATTGAGAAAAGGTTTTGACAATTTGTAAATATATTACTGTTAAACAATAAAACAAGGTGATTATTGATTCCAGGGAAAACCAGAAGCCAGGCAGGAGAGGAGTAATCACAGTGGACAAAGGGGCCCAAATGTGTGTGACATTTTCATCTCTTTATAATGCAAACCCTGAGTAGTGATCTAACTAGAAGTACTACATGTGACCAAATCTCCATGGGGAAGAGGAGAGAGTTGAATGGGAGCTGAATTCTCCTCTTCCATGGTGAGAAACCAACATTTGATGCTTAGCAATGATGCTATGACATTACGACCAGAACTAATGATGTAATGTCACTTGGGTGTGGATGTAAACGCTAAGACAACCTGCTGACTTGGCGTTTCCTAGCCTTCCCAGCTTCCAGAGGCCACCTACATTCCCTGACTAGTCGCTCCTTCTTCCCTCTTTAGAGCCAGGTTGTAGCATCTTCAAATCTCTCTCTTTCTCTTTGGCCCTCCAACCATCCTCTTATAAAGATCCCTGTAATCACATTGGGTAACTAGGATAATTCAAGATAATCGCCCCATCTCCGGACCTTTAATTTAATCACAGCTGCAAAATTCGGTTTGCCATGGAAGGTAACATATTCACATGTTCCTGGGATTAGGATGTGGGCATCTTTGGGGTGTGGGGGCACATTATTTAGCCAATCCAAGAGCCCTTTGAGCATCTGTGAGCCAGGCCCATGTGTGAGCCATGTGTCGTCTGCCAAGGTACCTGGGTAGAAAAATGGCATTGCTCATCTGCATCTGTAGAAAGGGGCATTGCTCAACGAACATCTGTTGAGTGACTGAATTTAGTGCGGTGGCAGAGGGGGTAGGGAGGAATGTGCCTTACAGATAGCTTCCTAGCTGTGTGACTGCACAGGTTGATCATTTATTCATTTCCTGGGCTATTGTCTGTCTCCATCCTCTGAGCTGAGTTTATGGACACCAGGTTCTGCTGCCTCTAAAACAGTGCAGTCCAACAGGACTTTCTGAGATGATGGCTTCTGGGCACTTGAAATGTGACTACTGTGACCAAGGAACTGGGTTTTAGGATTTAATTTTAGTTATTTTAAATAGCCACCTTTGCCTTGTGGCTCCTGCATTGGACAGTGTGGTTCTGAACTATTTCTCACCTCTGTCCACTCCTCAGATTCCATTACTTCTCCATAATTCATTTAACTTCTCCAAGCCTCAGTTTCCCCATTTATAAAATGGGTTCATTAGGTGCTCCACTGGGCAGTTGTTGTAGGGATGAAAGTTCATTCATTTATGTGAGAGACTGAGAAGAATGCCACTGCCTCATGGTCAGCCCCAGTAAGGATCAGCTGCTATAACAGTGATTACGATTTGCTTACTCTATTATCCTGTTATCTTTCCTATAACCCGTTCTCTGCCCTGCAGCGTTGATTTCTTCCCCATTGGTTCTCAAGCCCCATTCCCCTAATGAAATGGTTTCCTGTACTTCTTAGAATAACATCAGATTTTTTTACTTTGGCCTAGAAGTTTGTCTGATTCAGCCCAACCTTTCTTCCCTCATCACTTACTACCACCCTTCTCCCTCCTGACTGGCCTGCTGCACTGGGCCCCTTTCTGTCCCCACGTGTGCCCAGCAATTCCCTTCCATGGGTCTTGTCCTTGCTGTTCCCTCTGCCAGGTGCTTGCTTCCCTTGGATCTTCCCTACGGGGGACTCCTCTGCATCTTTCAGGGTTCAGCTCCTCCTCTGGCTATGCCATCACCAGCTGCCCCTTCACCTCTGTCTCTCCCATTACCCTGATAAAGTGATAGTAGTCACCTCAAATTATCTTGATTATGTATTCATTTCCTTGGCTATTGTCTGTCTCCTTCCTGGAATGTACACTCATCATGGATGGGGACACTCCCTCGTCCCCCGGCAGTGATGAGGATCTACAAGTTGATAGCAGGGTATAAGCTTTTAGAAGTAGCCAGTGGTCAAGATAAGCCAGGTTGAGACTAACAATTTGCTGTAGGTGATTATGTAGTTAAGAAATTGAAAATTAAGTGAATGTAGTTTTTAGACATGAGTTCTATTTGGTCTGGCATGTAATTCATCCAGTGTGAACAAATCGGAGGCCCTGGGCCAGGGACTAGTACATGGAGGGGCCCTGGGTTGAGTGAGAGCAGTGTGTTCAAGGAGTAGCTGTGTGTGTGCAAGGGGGTGGATTAAGAGAGAAGGAGGGTGGGGGCACATGAGACCAGAGAGAGGTGTGGGGGGGTCTTCTAGGTCCTAGGGACGAGGTTGAGCTTTGATCTAAAATGGACAGGAAAGAGCTGAAAGAGTTCAGCCAGCATTCAGCAAACTCTGGCCAGTGGGCCACATTTGGCCTCTGTATGTATTTTTGTAAATAAAGTTTTATTGTAACTTTTGTATCATGACCATTTGTTTTGTGCTACAAAGGCAGAGCTGAGTAGTTGGGACTGAGAATGTGCGACATGCAAAGCCTAAAATATTTAGTGTTTGGCCCTTTACAGAAATGTTTTGCTGGCACCTGGCTTAAATCGTGGGAAAATATGATATAGTTTACATTTTAATGATAGTATGAATGAACTGTTGAAGGTAATGATACAAACAGAACATAGAAGCATTAGGGGAAAATGGTTATAAAAGTAATAATAGCTAACATTTTTGTGTATCTGACTTGGTTCTTTAATGTTTTTGTTTGTTTTTTTAAATATATTTTTATTGATTTTAGAGAGGAAGGGAGAGGGAGGGAGAGATAGAAACATCAATGATGAGAGAGAATCATTGATTGGCTGCCTTCTGCATGCCCCCCCACTGGGGATCGAGCTTGAAACCCGGGCATGTACCCTTCACGGGAATCGAACCAAGGACCCTTCAGGCTGCAGACTGACACTCTATCCACTGAGCCAAACCAGCTAGGGCAGTTCTTTAATGTTTTATATATTCGCTTATTTAATCCTCCAAATAATCATAAGTGCTTTTATTATGCCCATTTCATAGGTAAGTCTCCTTATCTATAAAATGGACATGGGAGTAGTTAAATGACTTGCCCAAGGTCACACAGATAACTGGCAGAGCAGAGACTTAAACTCAGGCAGTCAGGTCCTGGAGGTCATTGTGCTGTTTTGCCTGTTGATGCTGCAAGGGAAGGAGGTATTTTTTATGCCGGGGGAAGCTGGAGGCAGTATTCAGAATGGAGGCAGTGCTTAACTGGGCTTTGCAGCATATGTAGGAGTTGGATAGCACGAATGCCAGAGGACCTTGCCATCTGCAGGGTGGGATCCAGGAGAACCAGGGACTGAACATCTCTGAGATTCAGAGACAATTTGGCTTTACTTCCAAGCACAGACCACAAGCCGAAATGGACTTGGAAATGGTAGCCAGGACCAGCTATCTGATTTATAAAGTTATGCAGTATAAAAACGCAGTGCCCCTAGTTAAAAAATCATTAAGAATTTGCACGAAATCAAGCACAGGGCCCTCCTCAGGGGGGTCCCCGTGGGACTGCACAGGGTGCACACTCATGAAGCTGCCCTGCACAGGGCTGAGGGGCTAGCAGCCCCTGGTAGCTCCTTCCAGCGGCTAGGGTTGGACTGATCCAAAGGACTTGGCAGGGGGGTAGTTACAAGGCCACCGTCTGTGTATAGTCATGAATCCAGGTCTTCCTCCAGGATCGGGGTGGGGCGGGGGTCTGGGCTCCAACTCTCCTATGAAACAAGATAGAGGTTTAGGGTGCTCCGACCAGGAAGGTATTTTCACCCCCAGAGTTCAGGGGTCAGAAAAGTAAAGATTCATGTTTCTAAAGCAGCCCTGAGCACATCCATCTTCAGACACCCCTGAGCCTGAAGCTTGGGGTGTTTTCTTTGGCAGAACCTCCCAGGACAATTTATTTTTATCAATAGAACTTGGAAACCGTTGAGCCAAGCAGCCCATGTGGGGAGAAGCAGATTCCCAGAGCCTGTGTCCCACTTCCCCTCCCCTGCAAGGTGGGAGACCGGGCCATGGTCATAGTCAATCCAGTGTCTTTGTTGTAAAAGGTAGGAGGTGGGAGAGGCCGAATGCAAAGGTGGGAAAATGAAACTGTGGAAAAGGGAATGCGAGCAGGAGTGATCTGAGACATAGCACTGCTGTCCTGACTCTTGTCTTGGATCTGAATGGGCTTAGGACCACCTAGTAGGTGGTTTGCCACACTCAGATTGTCTCTCCTTCCTCTTGCTCTGCTCAGAATCTGGCCCCTCCAGTTCGGGGTGGGGGGACATGTGTCAAGTGTTCTGACATTAGCCTGATTCAAGTAATTCATACTAAGGTGTAAATGACCGAGTGGCTTAGTTTATTGGTCCCTGGTTACATTTTCCAAGAGCCTGTTAAGGCAAGTGAAAACACCCAGAATGTATGACTAACTCTTTGATGAAGTGGGCTCAGGGCTTTGCTCTGTCTTTTCTGTATTCCATTCCTTCCTTTCGCTTGTCCTAGAAAGCCAGTTCCTAAAGGGTTGGGCCTGTGTCATGGGATAACTCGTTAGGATGTGGTAGAGAGAGTCCTGAATGCGTTGGAACCAGAGCCCCGGCTTTCCATTCTGACTGAGCCCTGACCTTGCTGGGTGGCCTAGGGCAAGTTGCTGACTCACTCTGGGCTAGCATTCCTCTTCTGTAATAACGTGGAAGTGATATGTTCTTTCTTCGGATTGGCAGGTGGAGGTAAAGGAGGGAATGCATGTGAAACAGCACAGGGCTTCTACTCCCCCTTCAAACTCCATTCTCTCCTTAAAATTAAGAAAATAAAGGAGGGAATGCATGTGAAACAGTTAGCACAGGGCTTCTACTCCCCGTTCAAATTCCATTCTCCCCTTAAAATTAAGAAAATTTTTTTTGTTTGGACTGAGTTTTACCTCTCATTCCCATTTTACAGAATGGGAAGCCCTGTGGAATAATGTGGCCTCTGGGAATAAAGACCGTTGGGAAGGGAGAGGACAGTGCTAATGCTGGCGCGGGACATTTCTTTGTTCCTGGCAATTAGACACTTGATTTCTGGGCCGTGGGGCCTGTAGGATTGGGTCCAGCAATTAAAGGCACATGTTTCTTCTTTCTTCTTTTTTTAACCACGAGCAAAGTTATTAATGGGCCCTTGGCAGAGCAAATTAATTTTTTATTTCCTAATTAGGAAGAAGAGCAGGGACTGCGCGAGCACTGGTGGCACGGGTTCAGCACGGAGAACCTTGAGCCGACCTTGGGGTGGACACATTCTTTTCCAGACTTAAAAAAAAAAATTATCTCCTGCATTTCAGAATATTCAGTGAGCTCAGGAAATGAGAGTGTCTAGGCAAAGGAAAGAAACACAAAAAAATAAGCAAGAAAATGAGAGGGGAGGATGAGAAGGAGGAGGCTTGGGTTGGGGCCCTGTCCTTCCCTCTCACTGGGCATGGTGGGAGTCAGAGGGAGGGTCTGGAACTCTTGCATGAAACAAGCCCACTGCTTTGATCTCTGGTGGCCAAGACAGGCAGCTGGCTCAAGAAGGCCATCTTGGTAAAAAAACAAACAAAAAAATTACCCTCCTATTTTAGGAGTACGCTTGATTAGCCAGCACCCTGCTGATCGAAACCTATCAGCCATTTACACCTTAGTATGAATTTACCTCAACCAATTTTATCCTTTGATAGATGATCAGAGTGGGGTTCTTCAGAGGACGAAGGGGCTTACACTTGCTCAGTGGCTGATGGCATAACCAGTCCTTTTTTTTTCTGGAAGCTTCTAAAGCTTTTACCTTAGGTCCTGATACCCTGAGAGATACTTGTGTCCCTTCTGGAAAGCTGCCTCTTGCCTAATTTTTCCATCTCTACCAAAGTTACTGATACTTAAAAGTAGGTAATTTGTAGTGGCACTATTCTGTGCGAGCCCTAATGTGAAAACTATGGACTTCGGGTAATAATGATGTGTCAGTGTGGGTTCATAGACCGAGACAAATGGACCACTCTGGTGGGAGGTTGATAATTGGGAGGCTGTGCATGTGGGGACACAGAGGGATGTGGGAACTCTGTGTACTTTCATTCAATTTTGCCTTGAACCTAAAACTGCTCTAAATAATAGAGTCCATTTAAAAATAAAATTCCAAATAAACCTAAGTATAGACCTTGGTAGGAAAACTACGGTTTTCTCTTTTACTCTCTTCATCTGAATTCCTTCGTGCATCCTCTTTGTAGGAGGAGTAGATTGGGATGTTGGTCCAGGGTTTGAGGCCTAGCCCGTGCTCTACCAGCCGTGTGGCCTTAGACAAGTCACTTCCCCGTGGAGAGCCTCGTTTTCCCCATTTGGCAGTCAGCACGGGGCTGCAGAAGGTACCCACAGAGCACTGCGTAGGGTTATCTGCCGTGGGTCACGGCTCCCGTGTCTTTCAGAGGCGAGTCTGGAGCCGGGAAAACGGAGAACACCAAGAAAGTCATCCAGTACCTGGCCGTGGTGGCCTCCTCCCACAAGGGCAAGAAGGACACAAGCATCACGGTGAGTGGCAGCGCCTGGTCGGTGCTGTGCCTTAGCGGACGGGTCTCCGGGCCTGTGGCCTGGCCGAGTGACAGGCAAGCACTGTGCAGAGGGCCGGACTCGGCGTGTGAGCACCCGGGTCCGTGTTACCCTGCCCCCGCCCCTGACAGCTCACAGGGGGTCATGTTCCGCCTGAAGGGTGCGTTCGGGTCTGGGCCATGCCTCGCCTCAGCCAGTGTCATCATCTGAGGGGCCTGTTTGTGAAATGAGAGGAGCCCTCTCCCCAGCGCAGTGAGGCGTCTTGCTTTCTTTCCATCAGGGTTCTCCATAGTGGCCCAGTGGCCCAGTTGTCACTCTGCACCAGATAATTTCTCTGTTGTGAGGCTGTCTTATGCCCTGTAGGTGTTAGCTGCATCCCTGGCCTCCATCCACCAGATGCTGGTAGCAACCCTCCCCCAGTTAGGACCCCCAAACCTGTCTCCAGACACTGCCAGGTGTCCTCTGGGAGGCAGTCCCCCCGAATGGGAACCATTGCTTTATATCAAACATGTCAAACTCTCGGCCCACAGGCCGCATGCCTCATTGATTTGGCCCGTGTTAGCCTTCGAGTTTGACATGCTTGCTTTATATGGATCTGCGAACTCCCTAGAGTGTGGCCCCCCTGTCATATCCTCCACGTGTCTCGGATGGGGGCACCAAGGTTTGGGAATATTGGTGTCACTCAGTATGTGGGCTTCGGTCCAGTGCCAGTGGCAGCCTCTGCCGTGTGCCATGGGATTCCAGATCGTGCTCCGGCGATGAGTCAGAGAGATGCTGTCATTCTAGTCCCTGAGCTCCCAGACCCAGGGGAAAGAGAGAGAGGCATCAACTACTCCCACAAATGACCCACGGTGACACAGTGGATTAGGGCTTGGGAGAAAAGCAGGTTTCTAGAGTGATCCCTTCCCGGGCCCATCCTTCTCCTCCTCCTCTCTGTCTGAGCCCGGCCTCACCTGTTCCAGAGGAGGGGACCTCCATGGGGTGGTGCAAAGGACTTTCCTGCGGGAGAAATGGCAGCACGGAGGCTGAGGGTGGCCTGCTGCTGGTGCTCAGAGGTGGCCCTGGGGCGGCCACAGAGACCAGCCAGTCTGGAGGCCCTCAGTGATCCAGGAGGACACCAGTTTTAGCTTCAGGAACCTTCCTCCCTCAAACAAATGCAGAATGCCCAAGGCCCTGAGCCGTCCCTGGCATGCTGTGTAGGGAGAGAGAGCTGCAAGGTTTGCAGGCCAGTTAACTTCTGCTTCCACTGCCTTTTTCTCCCCTAGAACAGTACAAATAAGAAAGAATAATCCTATATAATAAAAGGGTAATATGCAAATTGACCCTAACAGCAGAACAACCAGGAACAACCAGTTGCTATTACACATACTGACCACCAGGGGGAAGCCACTCAATGCAGGAGCTGCCCCCTGGTGGTCAGTGCGCTCCCACAGGGGGAGCACCATTCAGCCACAAGCCGGACTGACGGCTGCGAGTGCAGCGGTGGTGGTGGTGGGAGCCTGGCCCGCCTCCGTGGCAGTGCTAAGGATGTCCGACTGCCAACTTAGGCCCGCTCCCTATGGGGAGCGGGCCTAAGCTGGTATGTGGACATCCCCCGAGGGTTCCTGGACTGCAAGGGGGTGCAGGCCGGACTGAGGGACCCCTCCCCCCCAGTACACAGATTTTCGTGCATTGGCCCTCTAGTTCTTTTAATAATAACAATGGATCTTTATCCAGTGCCTGCTGGGTGCCAGGCACTTCTTTCTCTGCACATGTAAACACAGCCCAGGGAGTCTCTCATCCGATATGGTCTCAAAGATCCCACCACGGCTGCTGCAGTTACCAAAACCTTTGAAATGTTTGGGTCAATAAGATGTTAGACATGGGAGTGAGCAAACCTGAGAGAAAGAAACAGAATCGCAGAGGAGCTGCTGCTGTCCTGGTTATCTTGGGGAGTGCCGGCCGCTGGGGGGACTGAAAGCAGATGTCTCCAGCCATGATGTACGTGTGATTGAAATAACACTGACGTTTGTTTTATACTGTATTGTTCAACTGCAGCAAGGCCCATCTCTTGCCTACGTGAGTAACTGGGAGTGTTTTCCTGGTGTGTACGGGAGGCACGGAGTGTATTTAGATCTGCATGGTCCTGTTGCACCCACTGAGCCCCGTAGCTGATGGTAGAATGGGCTAGGCCCCCCGAGGTTCACACCCAAACCAACAAACGCACCCAAATACTGTCCTGCGGGTGTCCGATGCCAGCGCGGGGTGTGGGGGTGCGGTGGCCACCCGCAGGACTCCCACTGGAATCCCCAGAGTCATCCTCCAACCCATAATGGGTTTCCCCAGTTCAGAATGAATCCCCCACCCTCCCCACCAACGTGCCCACCACCAGACCCCAGCCTGGACTGCCCTAGAGACATCGATCCCGTCTGGTTGAAGGCTTTAGGATTGTCTGGCCCTAAAGCTTCCCTGGCTTGACTGACAGTCAGTAATGGCACCGCTGTGGCATGCCTCCTCCCTGCCATCATCCTACATTTCTCCCAGAGCCCTGCCCCCTGGCACTGGTGTGTCTTCGTGCATGCGTGTGCAGTGTGTCTCTCTCCTTGCATGCTGGTTGCTTGACCTAAGGCTCCCGAGACGGGGGTCTTAGAGGTTGCGATGCACTAGCTTTGGTGGCAGGGTAAGGCCCCAGCTATGCGACATATAACCGGGTCTTGCTCGGATCTCTGCGTATGTAAACTCGTGTCTAATGCAGAGCTTGGGGGGGCTGGCATGTGGGGTTCAGCCTGGAAGAGACCCTCAGGGGATCACACTCAATCCATCTCAGTTAGACCCTGGGCCGCAGTGTCACGGATGGATCAGGAGAGTCAGGATTCTAGTTGTGATCTGCTCCCGCGTGACCTTAACCAAGATGCTTACCGTCTCTGGGCTATAGTCTCCTCCATAAAATGAGTGGTTTGGGCCAGATCCCCATGTGGAGGGCTCTCCTGAGAAGGACCTTTTGGCCCCACCAGCTGGACTTGCCATTCTAGAAAAGGACTTTTTTGTGGGTATAGGGATCCCAAGTTTATGTTGACAAAGTGGTCCCTGTAGACCTCCCCACTAGCCAAGGAAAGCCCATCGCTCTCATCATAAATTTCCACAAGCCCCGATTCCAGGGCACTCGTCCCACTAGTGGCTGGGGTTTCACAGAGATGACACCGTGGTTTCACCTCCGTTGGGGGCTGCAGAGGAGGAGGCATATGGATAAACACACATAAACAGCAGCTTCCTGTCGTGTCCCTTTAGGGACAGCTGCCCTGGTGTGCAGAGGAGCAGCAGGAAGCTGGCATTCCCTCCCTTTCCCCCTTTAGAACTTCCCCAGCTTCTTCTTAGCCCAGCCCTGCTGCCCTGAAAAAAAAAAGGGGGTGGGGGGAGAGACAGGGACATCAGCAGACAGAACCAGGAGAGAACCCTCAGCACCCACCACTCCCCAGCGAGAACTGGACAAGAGCTTGGACAGGGAGGCCTCCAGGCCAGGCTGCCGCCGCCACGGTTTGGGGCTAGGCAAGGAGCAGCTCCTCGCTTCCCGGCATCACTTACCTCGTTGGCCCTTTGCTGCCATGGTTAACCACGTGACTGCCTTGTGCACAGAGCCCCTCGGAGGGCCGGTGGGCTGGTCCAGCCTCCGCTGCATTTAACCTGCTGAATGGAGCTCAGGAACCTGCTTTGAAGCTTTGTTCCGCGGTCGGTTAGAAGCGTTCCGGTGGGTTTTGCACATTCCTTACGTATCTTCCTCGGGGGGCCTTCCGGAAACGCATCCCACAAAAGGAGACGTTGCAACTTACCAAAAAACCGCACTAAAACCATCAGGAGTGGTTTAGCATGAAGATGGTTGCTTGTTAAGCATAAACAGCAGCAGCAGTGCCGTGGGCAGTGGAGCAGGCTGCTCACCTCCATGGAGCGCCCTGCACTGTGATGTACATGACATCCCCGGTGTTGTGTGGTGCGAAGTTCTGATTGGCTTGGATGCTGCAGGCATGAGCTGGCCACTAGGAAAAAGTGGCCTCCTAGGGAGCAGGGCCCAGCTACCAGCTCAGCCAGTCGTCGCTTCCGAAACCCTCGAGTAAATGTGGACATGAGTGCTGGGCTCTCAGACGGGGTAGGAGATAGGAGGGAGAGGACCTGTGGGGTAAGAGCTGAGTTTTGGGACAACATCCATCTAGGGTAGAGCTATCAGTGCCTGGGTCTCTCTCTCCAGTAACTAGATATGAATGAATTTTAGGGAGAGCTGGAAAAGCAGCTTCTGCAAGCAAACCCGATCCTGGAGGCTTTTGGCAACGCCAAAACAGTGAAGAACGACAACTCCTCGCGATTCGTAAGTAGCAAAGCCCTGTGGGTTTCGGGAAAAGGATTGGGTCCTGTGTTGCCATCTCTTGCCCGAGAAAGCTGAGTATGTGTTTGCAGGGGAGCCTGGGGTGGAAGGTACAGAGGCACAGGCCACATTTTGCTCTGCGTTTTAAGTTCTGTCGTGACCTTACAACCCTCAAGGGCTCCTGCCACTCCTTCCTTCCTTCATTCAGTATTCATTCAACAAATATTCGTTGAGAATCTTTTGTGTACGAGGCACCCTGCTAGGCACTTGACATTCATAACTGATTCTATAAATATTTATCAGCACCTAGTATGTGCTGGACACTTATATCCAATACTCGTTCATTTATGCGGCAAAACATGAATTGAGTACCTACTAGGTACCAGGCACATACATGCTTCATAAACATTTATTAAGCACCTACTGCATACAATCATTCTGGTAGGCATTTTTATGCATACCATTGTTAAATGTTTTTTTTTTTAATTTGCTCAGTTCATTTTTGTTAAGCACCTACTGTATAGCAGGCACTGAACTAGGCTCACAGGATCATGGTGAACAATTCAGGTGTGGTTACAGCCCTCATGAAGCTTGTGGTCTAGTTGGGCAGCCAATAGTCAACAAGGCAGGAGGCGCCACCTTCCCGCACACACTTCCCAGGCTTCAAGGGCCTCTCCTTTCCACTGGAGCGCAAAGGGGACAGGAGAACCCTGAAAGTGGGTGGCTGATGACACCTAGAAAAATTTTGTTGCACAAACTAAAGAGTGGCTTCCATAGGAGAATCAGAAAGGTACGTAAGAGTGGGAATTCTGAGGAAAAATTGAGGATTTTGGAAATCTGGGGGAGTGCTGATGGGGATGTCACATGACTGGGGGCCTCTGCCGATTTGCAGGGGCCCCTCTGAGCTGTCACGCGCCTGGGAGGGGACCCTGTGAAAACCTCTTGGTGGAAACCTCTGCTCTGTCCCCTGGAGCTGCTCTGCCCAGCACCCCTGTGTCCTCTACACTCACACGGCGGTCCCCAGCCCTGTCAGCCTCAAGACCCACTTTTTATAATAAATAACTCTGCAATGTCCCCTTTCCTTTCCCAAAATTAGAGTTGCAGATAACTTCCTACCACATCACATGAAAGCAAATCAGCATGATGCCTTTACTATAAGGAGAAATAAAACAATTCATAACTGTGCATTTCAGCCTGTCAGTGCTCAGGCCAGATGATCTAAGCCAGCGGTTCTCAACCTGTGGGTCGCGACCCCTTTGGCGGTCGAACGACCCTTTCACAGGGGTCGCCTAAGACCATCCTGCATATCAGATATTTACATTACGATTCATAACAGTAGCAACATTACCGTTATGAAGTAGCAACGAAAATAATTTTATGGTTGGGCCACAACATGAGGAACTGTATTTAAAGGACCAGAAGGTTGCGAACCACTGACCTCAGCAGACACAGTGGGGCAGTCACACACCTGCATTTACATCCAGGATCCTGGGGCCCGGAGGCTGCAAATGCAGACTCACTGGAGGAGGAGGTCTGGGGACTGAAGCCTGGGACGGGGTTTTCCGAAATACGCTTGAGAAAGCTCTGAACCAACGAACAGTTTGCTCTAGAATGTCGCGTGGCGGTGACATGCTTCTCTCCGAACGACACAGTGGGGCAGTCACACACCTGCATTTACATCCAGGATCCTGGGGCCCGGAGGCTGCAAATGCAGACTCACTGGAGGAGGAGGTCTGGGGACTGAAGCCTGGGACGGGGTTTTCCGAAATACGCTTGAGAAAGCTCTGAACCAACGAACAGTTTGCTCTAGAATGTCGCATGGCGGTGACATTCTTCTCTCCGAACATTTAACATGTTTGTGTGTTTATCTGAAACAAGGTCAGGTTCTAGGTCAGCTAATTACAAACAGGCTTTTCACTTCCGTGAATGTCAGATGGGACATTGGGAAGTCACAGGGGACGTGGACAGCGCTTGCTGGCTGGGATTCTCCCGGTTGTTGCAGGATGCTCAGCAGCCTTGGCCCCCACCATCCTGTGACACCCCAACCAGCCACGCCCCCAGATGTCCACATCCTCATGGCAGATGTGCTGCCTCCACTGAGAAGCACTGCATTTGTGTGTCGCAAACCAGCGTAAAGTTCGTTTCTAGACATAAGTGAGGGCAAATCCGAAGTTAGTGCTGAACATGTGCTCCGCTCACCGGTGCCCATGCTTTCTTGGGAGGGAGGGAGGGGGGTGGCCCCAGGACCAGCAGGTTCTCCGTGTCAGCTGCCATGACTTGGTCCTCCCAGTCGTTCTACTGTCTTACCTCCTGATGGGGAGAGTGAGGGTTTTGCCAAGACCTGAGCAAACCTAGGGGGCTGTGTCCACCCCGGTGAATACCTCCCACCATGTGCAGTGTGGTGGGTGGAAAGGATGCGATCTTTGTCAGCTTTTGGAAAGTAGGTAAAGGCCTGGGGCTGAGGGATGGTTTGGGGGTTCAGCTGAGGCAGAGGTAGGTGGGTTGGGCAAGTTCTCCCGGTTAAGACAGTTGATGAGCCCCAGGGCCGGGGGCAGGGCCAGGCCTGCTCGGATAGGCGGTGCTGGAGTCCCTGTCCACGCTCACCTGCCCCCCAGAGGAGGTTGTTTTGCAACTGGATGAACTTGGGCCTGACTCCCTGTGGAGAACCCAGCACGGTTCTGGGTGGACAGCGGGGAGGAAGCCCTCCAGCCACTGAAAGTGGCCAAACATGCCTCCTCCTGATGGCTCTACCCCTTAGGAGTGCTAGGACATTGGGCGGCTCTCTCGGCTTCAGTTTTCCCACTTTTCAAATGGGGGTAGCTGTGACGGGCTGAAGGTCATGGCTAGAGCCGAGTGAAACTGACTTGTGAAAGTGTTTTATAAGTTCTGTGGCTCCGTAGGCCCTGGGATATCCCAGCTCAGAGATGGTGGTTCCTTCCAACTAGTTCCCTCTGAGACTCTGAGGTTGTGGGGTCCCCCCTGCCCCTCGAATGCTCCCTGCCATCTCCCTGCCCACTTGCCTGCAGGAATGGGTGAGGGGCTGAGGCCGGGGAACTGACCATTTCCTGTGCTTTCCCGTTCGGCAGGGCAAATTCATCCGCATCAACTTCGACGTCACCGGTTACATCGTGGGAGCCAACATTGAGACGTGTATCCTTTGCTGAGCCTGAGCCCCGTGGGAGCCCCGCCCAGCCAACCTCCTGCAGCGCCTGAGGGGGCCCCAGAAAGGCACCAGAGCTGCCCCTCCATCCCCAGGCTCGTGGGTTCCGTCCCTCAAAACCCTCAGACCCTGGGGTCCTTCTCCCTTAGTAGTAGGCATTGTGGTGTGGTCGTCCAGGGTTTGAACCCCAAATAGCCGGCATTTGACTCTGGGTTGGCCTCTCCCTAGCTGAGAGACCTTGGGCCAGTTATTCAACTTCTCTGTGCTGCACCAGTGAAGTGGGGATGGAAATAGTATACCTACCTCGTAGAGGTGTTGGAAGAATAAAGTGAATTAACTTACGCAAAGCTCTCGGAACCATGCCAGGGATAGGGTAAGGGCTGGCTGAGTCTTGGCTAGTGTGTGAACTTCACTTCATCCTTATCAAGCCACGGTCCAAGGCCAATCCCAGGCCTCTTGTTCTTAGAGAGCTGCCCTGTGACCAGCTCCAGCCCACAGACAGGAAACGGGCAGCAATCGAGCTTTCCCAGGGGAACGGTCATGCTGCACCGGCCGCACAGAGCATCTCTGGAGAATCTGGTTGGTGAAGCGGAGCCCAGTTAGAAGTTTCTGGACTTGGGGACCACATCTGGGGTTTAGTAACTGATCAACGTAGCAGCATTACAGGCGCCGTGCGGGCTCACGGGTATTATCTTTTCATGGCTGCTTGTGGACCGTTTGTTTGGCACTGACAGGACCCAGGGGAGTGTTGTGGTTGCATTTGGTGCCCTGGATAACAGGGTAGGCTTTGGCATGGCATGGGTCTGGGTCCAGGTCTCAGCTCTGCCATATGAGCTGCGGGGCTTGGGCGAGTCTCTTAACCTCTCCAAGCCTCAGTTTTGCCACCTGTAAAGTGGGAATGATGGCAGCACCTACCTGTGGCGCTGTACTTGAATTGCGGTTGAATGAAATGACGTGCACGGCCCTTCGCACGGTGCTTGGCCCGAAGTGAGCCTCTGATTCGTGGTGGCTGTGATGTTGTGGTTAGTTAACCTTTGCTTAGAGCCCATGAGAGGCTATTTATAATCTCTTTATTCCATCTGGTACAACAGCCCAGCCACCCATCTGCCCTTCCCCACCATCCTCAATGGTCTCCATGCCCAGCTGCCCACCCCTGCCCGGAACCCCACCCCAGCCATAGCAGGACAGCTCTCCTTAGATTAACTGGCAGGGTTTGCAGTCTCTCTTCCAAGGCCAGTTCTCTGGGTCACGGTCACTCAGCCCGCCAGGGCTGGCACCGACTCTGTGAAGCCCAGCCCCTTGGCTCGGTGTTTCGGCCCTCACCTAGCTTGGCCACTTCCCAGCTGTGCCCTCTCCTGGGAAATGTTCCTCCTGGAGCTGCAGTTTCTTTATGTGGAAAATGCAAATATTATTCGTACTTCCTTCCTAGGAGGGTTTGTGAAGCTTAAATGAGACAATGCGTGTAAAATGGAACAGAGATTACTAAAGCATAGAGAGGGTAATTATTTTTACTCTGTAGCATCTAAAGACAGCTCACTCTACGGAAGGGGAGTCGGTGATGGTTGTTGGGGTCTTTGGATGCCTGTCTTTTTATGCTATTCCTTCTCCCTCTGTTCCCCTCACTTCTCTCTGGGCTGGGGACTGTGGCTGCACCCAATGGTCTCATTTTGGATCCCTGAGCCAGAACCAGAAGGTTGGCCCGGGTGAGTCAGGGTGGGTGGCTTGACTCGGCCCGTCAGTACGGCCCTTCAGAACCCTCTGGGGAGCCTTTCCCTGGTCCTGGAGGTTTTCCCTCCAGCACCTCGTGCAACAGGGACTGGGGAAGAAGGTTGGGTTCCTGCAAGGGGCACACCCATGGTATCCCCAGAATTCTTAACTCCTCCCAAACCAGATCTGCTAGAAAAGTCGCGGGCTATTCGCCAAGCCAAGGACGAGAGGACGTTCCACATCTTTTACTATATGATTGCCGGAGCCAAGGAGAAGATGAAAAGTAAGTGACTGGCAAGGATGCGTGTTGGGAGGTTTCAGCCCTTCCCGTCATCATCATCCGGGGCCCGTTGATCGGCTATTAAAACAGCCTGAGATCCTTCCAGGGAAAGAACTGTATCTTTGGGTGGCGGATGCATCGTTCGTCATCTCCTTTCAGAGGGTGAGTGTGGCTTTTGTTCAGGTGTTCTCATTTACTGAGCATCTACTATGTGACGTAGACGTGGAGTCCAATTAGGCATTAGATAATTAAGTCCAATTAGACCCGGAGACGTCGAGTTCAATTAGACACAATCTATGCCTTCCAGGAAGGGAGAGAGACAATGGCTGTATTTGTCAGTTCATAAAACTTGCAAGTATATAAGATACAATGTTTTAAGGAATTTGGAGGGGAGGTGGGACTAAGCACTTTTCATTCCATATGTTTTGAAAGTGACTTTTGAAGTGGTCTTTGTAGGGCACAGGGTTTCACAAACTTTCTGAAAAGGACTAAATAGTATATCATTGAGGCTTTTTGCAGGCCACATGGTTTCTGTCACAGCTACTGGGTTCTGCCATTGTACACAATGGAAAAGCAGCCAAGGGCAATACATAAACACAGCTGTATTCCCGTAAAACTTTATTTACAAAAATAGGAGGTGTGCTGACCTCTGTTGTAGGGAGAATATTGTTTTCCATAAAAAGTTTATGCTTTCTGCCATTGGGAAGTGATACATTCTTGACATGTAGTTTTGTACTAATTCTTAAAAGAATATATAAATCGCCTCGCTGAGAAAGGAACATACGAATAAATATAGGTACATGATACAGTCTACATTCTAGTAATAAGTTTAAGACTAAAACTTTAGGGAAACAATACAAACTTTACTTCCCATCATTTTTGTGGCCCCCTTTAGTTATGTAGGTTAAGAATTCAGTGTATTGCAATATGCCACCACTAGAGGGGGCAGTATTCATTGTTTCTTCTTGATGCTTGATGGTATGGAGCAGTGGTCGGCAAACTGTGGCCCCTTGAGTGTGGCTCTTCCACAAAATACCACGTGCGGACACGCACGTACAGTGCGATTGAAACTTCGTGGCCACACTCAAGGGGCCAAAAGCCGCATGTGGCTCACGAGCCGCAGTTTGCCGACCACTGGTCTGGAGGAATTTTGGGTTAAAGGGGGCATGCTGAATGGATGCTATACACCCACAAATAGGTAAATTAATAGTTACACTATGGGGTGGCCCAGGGAGAAATGTTTACATCCTTTCTTCTATTTAGCACCAAAGTCAACAGTTTGGTTGTTTGGTAATTTGGGTTCTAGCTTTGTGCTCTGTTGCTGGTCTTCCCGAAATTAGGTAAGGGTGAGGCTAGCAGCTAAGATTCCCAGGAACCATGTGTATTCTTGATGGTAGATCTTGGAAGAGGTTAGGTGTTTAGAGAAATTATTTTAAATGTATCCATAATCTGGATAATGAGGTCTTGGCAAAGACCCAAATTCCTTGTGACTTTAATCAGGCATTTCAGTTAATCCAAGGGCTTGAGTTAACTGGTGTCTTGGGTCAATTTAACCTTGAGTTGATCAAGTAGCTTCCAAGTGACTTGACCCATGAAAGACCTCTGTTTTAAAATAAAAGTACATATCTCACTGACTTCCCTTCCCAGCCTAATTAAAGGTTGGTCTGGAAGAGGACACTTGATGTCTTGGAGGGTGTTATAAAAGCAAGAAAAAGAAGCAGTTATAAATTGAAAAAGGGGGGGGGGGGGGGAGAAAGGGGTGGTGGCTGAGGTACAAAGGTATGTAACCATGACATTACAGAAAACGATGTTAAATAGATGTAACCATATAAGCAAGGAGTTGGCAAATGTTTTTGCTAAAGGGTCAGGTAGTAAATATTTTAGGCTTTGCAGACCATATGGTTTTGTCACAACTACTCAACTCTGCCTTTGTAGTAGGACAGCAGCCATAGCCAGTAGACAGGGAATAGAAGTGGCTGTGTTCCAATAAAACTTTATGTACAGAAACAACCAGCAGACCAGATTTGCCAACCCCTGACATAAACCTTATCTACTGATTCAACTGGAAATAGTTAGTGGAGAGGGAGGATGGTGTAAGAGAGCTCAGTCTTTATCCACCATGGTAGGAAGGCAATAGATAATATCTAATTTTGACATATTCAGAAATAGCCTATTATATATGATATAGAAACATCACATTACATACAGTAAGCTTATTATATGTAGAGATCATGGTAACTACCAGAAGAAACAGCTAAAAGAGATAAAAGCAATTATTGTGGGGTGAGAGTCGGAGAAGGGGTGGGACCTTTTGGTAGTAATTGATTTTAAAAATTCATGTGCATATATGATTGTATTTTATAAAATTTAATAAATGGACTAATAAAGAGTGATCTAACTTTCCAGACACCTGTGTTCCTGAAGGCAGGGTGCCTTTGGGCAATTGAGATAAAGGTGTCCCTCCTTCTGGGTCAGTGCAACCCCATGTCAGGGGTCATGGCTCAGCCGGTGGAGCCAAGGCTGAATTTCAGGGTACCCTGGGCAGTGCATTACCTGTCCCACTGTAGGAGGCCAGCGGTGACTGGAGAAGCCGTCTATGGGATGATGCAGAAGGAAGGGGACAGAAACTGTGATGGTCCAGACCCTCTACCAGATTCCAGTCTCCTGTTCAAAGGTCTATGGGATGATGCAGAAGGAAGGGGACAGAAACTGATGGTCCAGACCCTCTACCAGATTCCAGTCTCTAGTTGTGTGCCTTCCTGACCACACCCCATCTTCCCCTCCTTCCAGGTGACTTGCTTTTGGAGGGCTTCAGCAACTACACGTTCCTCTCCAATGGCTATGTGCCCATCCCAGCTGCCCAGGACGATGAGATGTTCCAGGAAACCCTGGAGGCCATGGGCATCATGGGCTTCAATGAAGACGAGCAGCTGTGTAAGTCTTCACACCTTGAGACGGGGGCTGGTGAGGAGACCTGGATTCTTGCTCTCGGTTCCACTGGAATCAGTTAGGGACTCTACTCCGGTCAGGACACATTTCTGTTCTCTGAATTCCCCAACGCCCCTTCCCCCTAAACAAAACAGGAGAATGAAAATGAATATTACTGTAGGTGGTTTGTTGGTGTTTTTAAAAAGTGGCTGCATAAATTAGGGCTCTTTCAGTTACAAGTGACCCAAAATTGTCTTCAGCAAAAAGGAAAATGATTCACTCATAGAGCTGAAAAGTTCAGGGACACTGGTTTCAGGTATAGTTAATTCTAGGGGTGCAAAGGTTGTCTCTAGAACCTGGTCTTTCAACAACATTGACTTTAAGTAGGCTATAGTGTCTTGGCAGCAAAATGGTTGCTGCAGCTCCAGCCCTTAGATCCTCTGGATTTATGTCCAACAGAAAAGAGCAGAGTGGATTGTCTGATTGAGTTCCTCAATGGAGTTTCATTGACTCTTATTGGTTGCCCTAGGGTGATGTTGTTATACCTGAGCTACTCATTGTAGCCAGAGTTGTGGAAAGCTCTGAGTAGCTTAGGTCTCTGTTCTGTTCTTGGACCTGGAGGTAGAAAGGTAGTTGGCTTCCTCAAGAACATGTGGGCAGAGGATATGGGACAGGGAATAATTGAGGTGGTGGGTTTATTTGGGCTCTTCCTGGAAAGCCAGTCTGGTGATAGACCAATATTGATTAACTGGGGGAGGGGGAGTCCCTCAGCCCGGCCTGAGCCCTCTTGCAGTCTGGGACCCCTTGGGGGATGTCTGCCTGCTGGCTTAGGCCCGATCCCCAGGGGGATTGGATATAAGGCAGCAGTCAGACATCCCTCTCACAGCCCGGGGCTCTCACAGTGGACCCCTCCTCCTTCCTTACCGCCCGCCTGCAGTGGAGGCCTGAGAGGCTCCCACCACCACCGCTGCGCTCACCAGCTTCTGGCTGAGCGGTGCTCCCCCTGTGGGAGCGCACTGACCACCAGGGGGCAGCTCCTGTGTTGAGCGTCTGCCCCTTGGTGGTCAGTGCGTGTCATAGTGACCGGTTGTTCCACTGTTTGGTTGATTTGCATATTAGGCTTTTATTATATAGGATGTCATCAACCACTGACCAAGAGACACACTTGCCCTTGAGAATAGGGCAGCTCAAAGAGATACCCTTGGTCTCCACACTGTGCTTCAAGAAACACTTTTCCTTCTGGGTTAGATGTGCCCCAGTGTTCAAGGTTATTCTCTTTTGGGATCACCAGGGCAGGATTGTGGAAAATTTCCCTTCCTTCCCACGCCCCTTGGGAGCCCCAGAATAGCACTAAGGTTGCTGAAACGCAGCAATAGGGAGGGGCCGTTCCTCTTGAGATAAATTGGGGCCCAGAAAAAGAAGGTTCCATGGGTCAGTTGACAAATGGACGGTGATTGTGGATTTTGGCCAGGGTTCCATATCAGAATCCAAGGTTAACATCCCTTTCTGAATGACCTGGGCTCTCCAAGAATAATTCATTTTATTTGGGACATGAATCAGTTTTCCTTCTAATCTTTTGCTTTAGACAAATGCAACTAATGATTCAGTACTTGCTATGTGCCAAGCATTTGCTAAATCCGCCCCCCCCTTTTTAATGTGCCATGTCCAGTTTTATTTGAATAATAAAAAACTGGAACATACTAAAATATTGATTGATAGAGGATTTATTAAATTATTGTTTGACCTTATTAAGTAGAATGATGGGGCTATTGAAATTGTTTTAGAAAAACATTGGCTTATATGGAAATGCTTGTATTTAAAGTGCAATATCGGGGGACAAAGCAATATGCTAAGTGCTTTATATGCATTATTTAATCACAACAACTCTATGAAGTGGCTGCTGTTATCCCAGATTTGCAGAGGAAACTGGGCACAGAGAAGTGAAGGAACTTGCCCCAGGACACACAGCGAGTTACTGGTGGAGCTGGGACTCACTCTCGGGTCTTGTGGACTCCCAAGCCCTATTTTGTGACTTGCTGTGCTCTGCGTTTGTCTGTGGGAAGGTGGTTTTTGTCCTTTAAACTCTTAAAATTCTGTATCAGAGTCATGGTTTGGTACCCATGGCTGGTGGGAGCCTAGTATATTCTAAAATGCAGACTCACATCATTATCGATGATGCAGAATCCCACCATGTGACATAGTTCCCTTCCCTGCTCCCTTCAATTTTTCAGATGACTTTCAAAGAGGGAGTAGCAGTTTGGCACCTACTAGGTCATCAGCTCCTCTCTGGTACTTGCAAATCTCCCTTTTAACCCCAAGAGTAGAGCCCAGGCCCTGCACCTTGCTAGAATTTGATAACATTTTTTATTGTTATAGTTGCTATGTACTTATGGCAAGGGAAGCTCATTTTTTACTTAAGATAGAGCTAGTTTCCTATTAACATAAATCTAAAGAAAGAGAAGTAAGCGGATGTGAAGAAAAATGTTAAAGAAATAATGGAGCAGATAGTATGCAGGTAGAGCAAGCATTAAGATGAGGATGTGGGAAGGAGGCAGCTGATCGATGTTTCTAACTCTCTATCTCTCTCCCTTCCTCTCTGTAAAAAATCAATAAAATATATTTTTTTTAAAAAAGATAGAGCTAGTTTCCTATTAACATAAATCTACAGAAAGAGAAGTAAGCGGATATAAAGAAAAATGTTAAAGAAATAATGGAGCAGATAGTATGCAGGTAGAGCAAGCATTAAGATGAGGATGTGGGAATGATTGAGGTCCACAGGACATGGACTTAGACTATTTGTACATCAATCCCAGTTATAAATTTAGACCTACTCCCAACCCTTCACAAAGAGGCTGAAGGAGAATGGGGGTGGGCGTAAGGGGTGAGGCTCGAGCCCTAGAGCTTCATAAGGCTCTAGATGACCATGCCCCTCTGTTTCCCGGAGCTCAGTAAGGGAGGCATACTCGCCCCAGGTCACAGAGAGCTAGCAACAGTGTAGGACTGGAATAATAATCTACACTAATAAAAGAGAAACATGGTAATTGGCGTACGACCGCTACCCTTTTCATTGGCTAATCAGTGAGTATATGCAAATTAACTGTCAGTCAAGATGGCGGCCGGCAGCCAGGCACTGAAGCGAGCACGAGGCTTGCTTGCTGCAGACTCCAACGTTCACCGCCTCACTTGCCGGCCTCTCATTTGCAAGTCTAAGCAACTATATACTATGTTGCAAATAAGAAGGTAAACAAA